TATCCATATTGTAGAGAAATCATCTTTAAAACGTATTTAAATGGTGGACGGAATATGTGGGTAGACTGCTATTTTAATTTACACCGTTTGATATACAGGGTGAGTCGTTTAACTTGGCACAAATGAATATCTCAGAAAGGAAGCATTTTACGAAAAAAATGTTCGAACAAATTTCGTTTGGTTTCGAGGAGGCAAGAAAGTGCTGTGCTGTGTTATTTTTTAATCGCGGCGGTTTTCAAGGTCTTTCGAAGGTCAACTTTGCTTTTTTAAATGGGGACCTATATTTTTTATTGCAGATTGTTATGATGTACAAAGAACCAATTAACTTTTGTTTGAAAACATTTTTTAATAGGACCAGTATTTTCAATAAGAGAAGAAAAAATTAACTAAGGCTTTTATCTAGCTTAAGAGAGTTCGAAAATGCATTGATGTTGAAAGACACCATTTTGAACACTTATTATAATATTATTTGGCAATGTCAACAATAAATAGGTTATTTACGCAAGAAAAAAGATTAATTAACTTTTTTCTTCTCTTTCGATTTTCGTATCTACAAAATCCCTATACTTATTAACAATCTCGGAATCTACGCTCGATGTTGAAATAACATTAAAACTACTGATCCTTTTAAAAAATGTTTCAGACAAAAGTTAATTAGTTTCTTATATAGCATAACAATTTGCAATAAAAAATATAGGTTCCCGTTTAAAAAAACAAAGTTAACCTTGGGATAATCTTGAAAACCGTCGCGAATAAAAAATAACGACACAGCATTTTTTCCCCCCCTCGAAAATTTTTTCGTAAAATTCTTCCTTTCCGAGATATTCGTTTGTGCCAAGTTAAACGACTCACCCTGTATAGCTGTTGGACTTTGATGGGAAAGACGAGTTGCGTGAGTTCTGTGGCCAAAAAGCTTTAATGATAGGTAAAATAATAAGTAGAAAAATTTTAAAGTTCTATGAAGTTGAATAAAGTCCAAAGAATTATTCCATTTGGATATTAAAGATGGATGATGCCGATAAATAAATCCATTGTGACAAGTTTCAGAATAAAATTTATGCACAGATCTGATTCACGAGAATTTCTGAATAATGTCTAGAAAGTTTGAACTAGGATGCTTTAATTATTCTGCGGAATAATTAAGTTTATAGAAAACAATGGAGTGAATCTACTTTTTTTATTGTATGGACAGATCAGAGGATTATGGAATTAATTATCTATGAATGAATGAATGTCGTGGAGATTTTATTGATGAAATATAATAATGGAATTTCCGTGAACATAAAAACGAAAATTACGAAATTCTCATAAACCGCTTTTTGGAAAAAGTTTATAATTATTCCGAATGAAAATTGCAGAAGTTTGTGTATTACGATATATAATTTCGCGGATATTTATCCTGTTATAATTTTTCTTGAACTAGACATTTCATTAAATTATTTTAATAATTTAATTTTTAAATACATTTTTCATTTAATTATTTACATAATCATAATTACGAAAGACCCCTGTCATAATATCGAAAAATAATAAAATCAACTAAATTTGCAAGTTTTTCTATTGTTTGTTATGGCTTAATGACGAATTATATGTATAGGTCATGAAAGAATTAATGGGTGAACCCTCTTGTATACCGCGTAATTTTAAATGTTTTACGAAGTGTATTATTCCCTATACTTTCTGTGATAATAACTTTTTAAACACGAACAAGTATTTTGTTATTCCTATGTATAAGTATTTGTATATACTGAATTTTCCGCTAGTTACAAAGTGTACTTATTAAAATAATATAATACAAATTAAAATTATAATTATTCATTCTCATTCATTCCATATTTATAATCCATACAGAGGTCTCAAATAATAGATGTTCAGTACATTATCAGTATTATCACTAATCCGCTCTTACGCGTTGTTACTTTCTGTTGGACCAAGAGTTCATAAAATGTCTAGAATTTCCGGGTTGCCATTATTCTTTCTGGTTAGTGCGATTTCCGATTACACGATCGAATATACATTTTTATGAGAATTTCTATGTGCATCTCCTAGGCCCTGTCGCCTTTGTTGTCTTTTCTGGACTTTTGGCAAAATGTATCTGCTCGGTTTGCTAGCAGCCTGGCAAAAGGAACAAGCAACGCGGACAATACAAAAAGGTGAGCACGCGATTATGGATGAAGAACTACACAACAAAAATTGATGGTTCATATTGGAATGGTTAAGCCGTATTTCTAAGATTTGTTATAAATGTAAAAATAAAGGACGTTATAAGTGTTTATAAAGTGACAACCGTAGAAAGAATAGGGAATAACACACATCATAGAATACTTTGTTACATTTGTAGTGTACGAATGCGCCAACATATTCGAAAGAAATTTGTTTGAAAAGGCCTAATAAAAAATACTCAACAAAAATAATTCTGATTTTTAATTGAAACAATTAATTGGTGGCTAATTAAAGTACTACAGCTGCGAATAAATGGTACGAACAAACACTGCGGATAAATGGAACTATTAGACAGAAGTTAGATGTTCAAGTGTATGCAGGAAAATGGATAGAATTTCCAATGCGAATTCATTTCAGGACAGGTACTTTCGTATGAGCTTTGGATTATTCAACGAACTGAAATTAACTACTCTAAATCGTAACTAGCAAAATCTGATTACGTTTGTTTAAAATAATTCCCAGGTAATGCATTTATTCAGCGTTTATGCAAGAATGAGGTAACATTGTTTCATTTGATATTAAATTGTTTTTCCGTATAAACACATTACGTGACAACTGTCTGAAATATTCTTTCGTCGTGAATTACTAGTTACGTTTGGCTTAAATTATTTTGATATATTTTCATATTATTTTACAACTGTCGTATTCCATATAAGTTATTCACAAGTAACTGCACTATTCATGATTATCGGTGAAGAAAGTAGGTATGAGAACTGTCAAGCGCATATATGTATACCATCATAGTCGAATTTGTTGTATTTCTGTGATATTAATTTTTTTAATCACATTAAAATTATAGCATGATTCTCGTCTAAGCTAAATAGTGGTATATACATATATGTCAGTTTATTGGGAAGGAAAAACTTGTGTTAAAAACATATTATGGTGTAAGTTTGATTCAATATATCCCGGCTAATGATTCCGGAAATCGAAGCCATAAATTAATGAAAAAACAAATGATTACTATAAGGTGCTTTTTGCTCATACATGTCAGTGTTGTAGAACAGAAATATGAAAATTCCTTAGAATTTGCTTTAATTATATTGCAATAATACCACCTTTCTTTTTCTTCTTCCATCCTTACCCGGTAATACCATATTTACCAGTTATAAATATTTGAGGGTTTCAAAAGTACCCTATGCATGGATAGTAAATATTAATCGGTTTCAAAGTAATTTGAAAACATTGTACAATACTCAAATAATGTATAGTACAGTAACTCAGATTAATATAATTAATTAAGGAGGTTCCCACTGAAGCTTTTAAAGAATTACTGTAAACTAAAATCATTGCTATTAATTTAATATGTTATAAGTCTTCTTTTTCCTTTCAATGCTGTGTCGTCTACGGGCATAATGTGGCAATTCAAGTTTCATATAATAAATTAAAAAATGTTTGATCAAATTTAATATACAGTCTCTGCATGCGTTGTATTTCACCAAGTACTCTCCTCCACTTCTGCACTCTCGTTTGCAGAATTCATACGAGCTCGCAATTTGTTGCTGTTAATGCTAATATGATAGGATAACAAAGAAAATCGGAAGAGGTAACTTTAAAATTACAACCAAAGTAAATATTGTGTTAGTATACGGATACTTCCCGAGCAGAAATTTAATTAGGCTGTCTGATGTCTTATCAGGGCCAGCTGAGGTGCCACTAACGCATGACGGATCAGGCTGGCTGAATATCACCCTGATCCGGGCCACTTCAAATATTCCTAAGAATTGCCCTATCAGGGCAGCTAGTCGTTGGCTTCAGGGCCATATTAGGTAATTGTAGGGCATACAGCTATAAGGTCTGCGCCACATTATTCGGATCCAGGCAATAGTAAGGCCTGCCTGCTCAGGATGGTCGGATACCACCAGGATCAGGGCCGATCACCTACTGCATTGGTTTCCCTAATCCGGACAGCCAAATGTAGCTGACATCAGGGTCATACTAGGTAATGATAAGGCATGCCTGGTAAAGTTAATATCAAATTGCCGTCATCCGGGCCAGCTCAAGCATCGATAGGGCAAGCCGCCCAAGCAGAAATTTATTCCGGCGGGGATCCGGGCCGCATCAGGCTGTCCCCTAACTGATAATCCGGCCCGGATCATGCCGCTCTTTCAGCCCTGATGTGGCATGTAACGGCATTTCTGATCCGACCCTGATCAGGCTACTTGATCGGGCCCACATTAGGGAACATATGTGGTCCTGATCATGCCCTGGATTGGTATTATATCCTGTTGCCTGATATTGATATACATTAGATATACATATAGACGTTGAAATGACAAACAGGTAACATTTTTTGAAAATATCGTAGATAGTGGAGTAATTCAGTGTGACGTATTAGGCCTTGCTTTCAAGGGGTAGGAGGAATTTCTGCAAATTATAAATTAGTTTGCTGATTCAAAAAAATTTTATATAGAAGCAGTGCGATGGATCGGACTACTAGGTGCTGCAAGTTAGAAGCTTTTATCGCCTCTTTGTCTCTTTTTCAGAATTCTGTAAAGTTTGGAGCTTATCGGTTCAGTGACCAACTTTTGCTTGCGGGTATCCCTGTCCCTCTGGTGGCCGGTGTTTGTATTACATGTATATAGTTTCATATTAAGGCGATTTCAGTGTTGCCTGATTTCACACCTAATACGGCAGCTCTGAATAACGCCTGACTACGACCAAGTCATATTTTCCATAATAGGGCTTGCCATGAAATTGCCTGATGCGGGCCAAGTCAGGCATTCCGTAATAGGGCTAGCTGTGACATTGCCTGATCAGGGCCTGATCCTGGTCAGCATCTATATTTCAGGCTGATCACATTTACAAATGTTGTACTGATGCATGACTAGGGCAGGATCTGGGTCTCTTCCGGCTATCCTGATCAGGCATGCCATACCGATACCTGATCCAGACCTGATACGACATCAGGCAGCCTGACCGAATTTCTGCTAGGGCGAATCGGGCACCTGGCCGGGACCAAATCAGGCACCTGACTGGGACTGGATTAGTCACCTGATCAGGGCCGCATGCCAAATCGCGGTACATGCCGCAACCAGGCCTGACGCGATGCCCGTTTTAGGGCAGTTCAGGTTGACAAGGTAAACCTAAACTGGGTCAGATTTCGCCCTAAATAAATTTCTGCTTGGGTATACATATAGTATATTCTAAATATAAAATCTGTTTGATCAATGACTATACTAAATGAAGACATTACTTTAAAAAAAAATTTGTATTTCCTAGAGATACCATATTTCAATTTTTAAAATTTATAAGAATACTTCATAGAAAAAAAGTATCTTCATTTTTGGTATTATTTTTTGTATTACAGTATCCTTCTGTGTGTGTATTTTTTTAAAGCTATATATAAACGCAAGACAAGAATCATTAGAAGATTTAATCTGATCTTTTTCCCCTTTGAGGAATCGTACTACGTAGGCTCAAACTGAAATATTTGGAAAAGCATTTGAGTTCAGTTGAACTCTCAAGAAAGGCTCTTTGAGCGAATCCTTAGATACGTCTCATTGTCTTTATAATTACAGTACTCAGGCACACGCGTATAGTATCCATTTTTTCCAAGTGATAACAGCGATTTTTATGTGTTGAGCACAGCATGGCACGGGTGTCGCAGTACGACACGAAATTCTCAAAACGTACGTCGCAACGTGATAATAACGACGAGTCTAGTCTGTTTCTAAATCACGTGAAATACGGCAAGGAATATTTTGTGTGTGTGGAAACGAAAGCTTGTGAGAACTTGGACGGTTGCGAAAACTCGGAGGACGAAGACGGAACGCCGTTGATACGTCAAAAGTATAACGATTCCGTCATGTCAGAAGAAAGACACATTTTGCGGAACAGAAGAACAAATTCCTGGGATGGGCATATGGTGAGTTTTTTCTCAATTCATTTAAGTCATTTAAATTGGCTTGTCAGGTTTGGTTGGCCAATTAAATAAATTTAGTATCCATATATTTTAGTATGACAAAAAAATTAGAATAACACGTTTTTGAGTTTTGGTTGTCAGTCGCGAGTGTATAGAATGTATATAATAGTGTTATGCAATTGCTTTTGGTAAAAAAGGAGGCGTGTTTTTTGTATATTTTTACAGAAATGTCTGTATTGAAAATTTCAAACAAATTGTTGATCGATAGGATTCAGATTTATTATCATCGCTAACCTAGTTAATGTAGTTGATGCAGTAAGTTACTGCAGTATTAAATCCTTACAGACCTGTAGGTATAAGTGTGTGCCGCGTTGGTAGCTGACTAATGGGCACACTTTACCTATAGGTTTGTAAGGGTTAAAGTTGAAATTCCAGAACTTGGAATATTCAAGCATTTAACTTAAATATGTAATGCTGTGCTGATGAATTCAATTTTCATTCATACAATTTTTACGTATTTACGTAGTTCGAGTAATAGGCAAACTCTAACCATATTTAACTATATCTCAGTTAGTACTGGTAATGTAACAAACATAAAAATTACAAAACAAGATGTAATATGTAATATAACATGAAGTTAATGTGTAAGAAACATCCTAGCTATTAATTCCCGCTCAGAGCAATATTATTGTAATATAACAAATATGTAACAAATTATTGCATAGACATGTTAGTAAGATGTAACTGTTTTATAACATTTTAATTAATTTTTTTTCAAGGTGGTCATATTATATTATAACCCAGCAAATACATCTTGTATCCACGTATAATGAATTCTGTCTTGTTTTAAAGTAGTTACATAATAGTGACATAAATGTGGTAATCGTGTTTGCTGGAAGATTTAGTTCATTTTCTTAGATACAGGTATTTCAGATCTTAAATAATTACATTCAAGGTGTTCAAAAAGCTTAGTATACCTGGTACCTTAAGCTGATACACTTTTAATAAAGTGTGTTGCCTATAGGTGTTACTCTTGATATACACATTTGAAAGATACAGTTTAGTTGCGGCTTGGTTGTTTCACGCCTGGACACCTAGCGGACATACTTTCGACGACACAATTTACATTTCGTTAAATGTACCAGAAATTGAATAAAATTAGGTTACAGTGAACAGTTTTCTTTTATGTTTAAGTGTCATACCCATTACATTTAGATTTTTATAAAACAAGCACGATTCATCTAATGTACAATATATCAGCAACGTTTCATAGGGACATAGTAAGGATTCATAGATTTTTTTTATGTCTGAATATATGTATGTATGTACATACATGTTATATGAATCATGTTATAAAATCTTGTTACTCGCGTTTCATATAGCTGTGCCTTGATGTGTTAGCTGGGATATTTCAGTCTTGTTTTCTATAGAGTTTGTATAAATGACCCTGTGGTACCAAATTTGTGTATACAGATTCGTGTAGTCAATTTAAATGTTATTTTAATAGGTTTGCGATTTCGAATCAAGATGGCAATTATTTCGACAGCTGCTGCGTAGTTGGCTTATCAGAAATACAGTGATATAGTGTAGCATGATATAGATTTTCACTTAGTATGTTGCAGTATCTTAACAAAGTCATGATTCTTTGTAATGACTTTATAAACGTAATCAAATATTTGTCTAATCCAGTTTAACAATGCAGCTTTTCAAAAACACTGTTTTACTATATATCATAACAGCGTTGTTTGCTTTTCGCACAATGTTTTCTTTTTCTTTAATATTATCACTACACTCTTTGACGTCTGTTTGCATTAATGAGTCGTGGCGCAGTGAATAGCTCATCGTTGGAATACCTGTGTATGATGCTTTAATATTGGTATTGTTTAAGCAGTATAAAGCTGCGTTCACAGACAACTAAGAAATATATGTTAATAGGAATAGAGAAAATACAGGGTATATACTTCTAAGTAGAAAATGACGTTTTATTTCTTTACGTTCGACGATTACAAATTGGTCATTAACTCAACTCAAACGAGAGGCTCCGTTCTGCGTGTAGTATCTCCCAATCAGTAGTTACGTACCCACTTATACCCATGTAGAGATCTAGGTCAGTATTTTCACGTAAGCAATTTCCTTTCCATTTATTTTAGAAGTCCTATTCGGGCTTTTGTACTTACGACAAAGGACAGGAGATGTGATTCTCTCTGTTTCTGCTTTGGTTCGCCTGCAAGTGAAGTCGTCTGTTTCAGGTCAATACGAAAAACGTAGGACAAAAGTGCGGCAGACTGAATCAGATACTAAAGACAAACTCTTGAATGAAAACTCATTGTTTCTATAATCGATTATTTCAATTTTTCACCAAGTCTGCTTTATGTGTTTTATATTTTTAAAATTAATTGAACAACCTTTCTTTGATCTTTTTAAAGAATTTTATTGACTGATTTTAGCGAGTTGCGCTCTGGTATGAAAAACCATATGCGTTTTAGCTGTTGGTAATTTATAATAAAAATATAATCAATTTTATATTAATCTTCATTTCGTGATGTATCATTGCAAATTGTGGCGGAAACATTTTAAATAGTGGCTCATTGAAAACTGGATTTTAATAATGTATATTTTGTAACGATCAGAATATGTACAGAAGTGAGATATCAGGGCAAATTTTTTGATTTGATAACATTGAGCAAGCACGCGGCTTGTGTCAATTTCACGAGCGGTTTCCACGCGGCTGATACTAATTATAAAGCAAAACGAATAATTTTCGTAGATATTTTTTATTTTTATTTAAAATCAACGTAGACGTAATTATTAATTTTTAGCACAATGTTTATAAATTCTATGTTTTGATGGTTCAATAAATTTTTATTGATTTTTTTTTATTTCATCCACAGCTTTACGTCTAAAATATCATTTTGTTAGTGGCACTTTAATAATAAAGTGTTTTATGTATAAAAAATCAATTTTAATTTCGAATTCCTCAAGAAAACATGATAAAGAAAAGTACTTAAATGAAATTTTGGAAAATATACATATATGTGACGTATAAACGAATGTCTTATGTAAATTCCAATGATTTCCTTTACGTAATTCGAAAATGTTCACAAAACACTTAAAAATGACTAAAAATTTAAAAAAGTCGTTTTAAATTCAAGAAAAAATGAAAGACATATAGTTATTAAATTAATTAAATTTTTACTATAATGATATATGATAAAAAGAAAATATTCTTCCTTGAAATATTAAGCGAATTTTGTCTACCTACTTAGAGTAGCAACATTGCTATTCCCGTATAATCGACAACTTCAATCGTAACGTATAACGCTTTAACTTGCGTTTCTGGTTAGTAGCAAAACTAGCAAAAGAGGTAAGGTGAAATGGAAAGTTAGAGCAGTGGAAGGGTAGGTAAATAACTTCGATATGAAAATTATGAAGAAGGTGGATTTTCTTGTAGCAGTTGCCGATAAGAAGACGATCGTAGGACGTAGATATATATGTAGAGATAACAGTTCGCGCTTAGGCACTTGCATGCATATGGCACAGACAGGAGTGGATAGGCGAGGTCATAGGGGTTAACCAAGACAAAAATAAAGCGAAGAGCAATGAATTTCGCATTTGAAGTAACGAGGGATTCCATCCGTGGCGTTCCACTTTTAGTATAGGCTTACGATAACATATTCATAAGAAAAGTTCGTAACGCGTTCTTGAACGATCGGCATGGTTAAGCTGATGGCGAAAAGGCTACCAAGAGGGTACAAGGAGAAAGAACTACGAAAGAATGAAAAAAAAGGATTTCCCTGTGGAACTTTCCCATGCAAAATTTCTCCTCTGTGTCGAACCGCTGAAATTGGCTACTAGTTTCTTATATGCACCTGCAACCTTGTTAGATGACTAATTTCGTCGCGGTAAGTTATCGATCTTTATAATTGTTTAAACTCTATTGTACATATTGATGAAAAAAGCGTTAATGGATTTTAGTACTTGGGGAAAATCCTTTTTTGTTTTCAAAAGACGTTCGAAGGTTACTCCGATGCTTACATAAAGTCGTGTACAGAGTTATTCAGTAGAAACGCACCATTTGAAGTTGAGCCTTAAGGTAAAACCATGTTCAGGTGGTGCGTTTGGGCTGAATAACCTGGTATATTGGTATATGGTATACGCTTGTGACACACACTCCTCTATCGGAGACAGCAAGCGTTACGAATCTGGAACTATACCTGGGCTATGGGAACTTCCCCGTAATCAATGCTTAGTCACCTCCCAAAAAACCAAAGTATCTCTATTGAGTCATCCTGAAGAAACCTAAGCAAAGTCCTGTTACACCGAAACCTTACTCCTATAAAACCCTTACCCATCTAGCCAGCGGATTCTAGATATAAATATAAGGAAGCACCATGTTCTACCAACTCAGTACAACTTTAACTTCTGTAACGTTCAGTTGCGAAATTGTTTTTTCATTATACTTGCTGGGTCGAACGTCAACCACAATAAATAACGATCTAACTGGAAACTTTCGTTGCTCATTTCTTTCGAGGAAGACTCCTTTTCGATTTTACTTCGAAACCAGAACCACTGGCCCGGGTCACGCTACATGTAGTCAAGGTATAAACTCCTAGCCATAACAATAGCGTAGGTGCAGGATTGGCAGTAAAACTTGATACATATGTAACTACACATATACAGGGTTAGTCAGTAGAAGTGCACCAGTAGAAGTTGGCCGCAAGTGGCCGACACGGCAGTGTGGCCTCTTCAAAAAATGATATGTGACTGTGATCGATTCCCATAAGCGCAAACTGACAATTCGCATAGCAATAAGGTTATTGAAATATTTCAATAATTAGGTTACCGAAATAATTAATTAATTTTGTAATGACAAAATGTAATATCAGTTAAGATTTATTTTCACAACAGATTGCAAATAAAATAATGTAAAGTTTAAAATATTCACAATTTTTATATTTCCAAGTAATGATCACAACTGCAATTCTGCAATATAATGCTGCAATTAATTTAAAAATCAATTAATTGAAATGTTTTTATAGCAAAAAAGTGTGGGATGAAAATCTATTGTGAAAATAAATCTTAACTGACATTACATTTTGTCATTACAATATTAAATAATTATTTCAGTAACCTAACTATTGAAATATTTCAATAACCTTATTGCTATGCGATCTGTCAGTTTGCGCTTATGGGAATCGGTCACAGCCACATATCATTTTTTGAAGAGGCCACACTGCCGTGTAGGCCACTTGCGGCCAACTTCTGCTGGTGCGTTTCTACTGACTAACCCTGTATATTGCAGTGTGATGAATGAACGTTGTGATGAATATTAACACTTAGCGATTTCAGCGCAGGTCAGAAGTCTCTTTGCATTTTGCGTTTGAAGACGGCGCATGTGAAAAAATCAAAGTCTATTATAGTACGTTTGAATAAAAAATTGGTAGTGAACCGTCCATTCAGTCGGGTTAAATTTTCAGGACAAATCATGAACGTGGATGGAACAGTAATACTTGCCAATGCCAAGAACTTTCAGACATAAAGTTCTGCGTCTGCGAAATTAATTATATTTGTTATATAAGTTTAGCATAGCATGGTCCACATGGTTGTGCCTGCCAGCGAGCTTGTTTGCTCCTCATGGTTGATATTATTTTTGAGTGGCATGGAGGTCCCGATACGTGTACAGTCACCCGCATTAATGGTGACAACGGTTGACGCCGTGCGAAGAGGTAAGAGAGGAGATTTGGGAGGCGCCTGCTCGCGTATCTTGGCCTGTGCGTGTGACGCAGAAAGCGCTATGGTGCGAGCGAGACGCCAGAGCTTCGCACGGTGCGTCCTTGTTGCACAGCACTAGTGTAAGCGAGACGGCAACAAGGCCCCTCATGCGCAATAGGGAGCTTGGTGGGGGACCGCTCGTGTTTGGTGGCACGCTTTCCCTCTCTCTCTCAGACTAATGCTCTATGACGAGGAGAACAGCTACTACCCCGATAAGAAACGAGAAGGAGCTATGGGACTTTCGGTAGTGGGAATGAAATAGACTTTTCGATTATCCATCCTCGTCAAACAGCGTTAGTAAGACAAAGACAGATATATGCGATGTGATGGCTAGTACCAAGTGTCCCAGCGTCTAACGCATTGTGAATAGGTGCGACTCAGGGACCTATGGCCGTCTCGCTTACACTAGTGCGTGCAACAAGGACGCACCGAACGAAGCTTTGGCGTCTCGCTCGCACCGTAGAGCTTCCTCCGTCGCACGCACAGGCGAAGATACGCGAGCAGGCGCCTCCCAAATCTCCTCTCTTACCTCACCGCACAGCATCAACCGTTGTCACCATTAATGCGGGTGACTGTACACGTATGTACATACTTATATGTATGCATAGATGGGTGAATTTCCATCGCGCTTTGACCATAATTATTCTGCCTTGCCAATGGCGGGAAGGCTGCAACGAGCATGGTCGTGGCAGAGCATGAATTTCTCTTTCATCTTCTCTGTATCATCCACCATCTAAGATGCTTGCGGGGTTGACCTGGAGTCGTGCATTGTAAGATCAAACAAGACGAATATGATTCTCGTTCGTGGTATCATTGGAGTTCTGTGAGCTTCCAAAACTTTGAAGCAGTACCTTCGAGTGGAGTGGGACCCAACTTTATACTGTCCAATTGTACACGAGCTGTGTAGAATTATTCCATGTAGAGTTGAGTTCCACTCCATTGAGTGAACTTCGCAAAAGTCCTGACTGGAAGGAATACCGACAGAGAGGTGGTACGTTTGTCGACCTGACCGCTAGATCAGTTATAAGTTAGTACGCACAGTACTAGCATTACCGACCGGAGCGCTAGTGCGGTGAGATTGAAACTAGCCTGTTTTAGCGTGTTCGACACCAAGCGTGACTTCTGGTGATGCTACACTCAAGGTCCGTAAATGGAACGCGGGATCTCCACGTTAAGAAAGGTCTTCCCGCACTCACCTCACAAAATTTAGGTCCAAAATGGCGACCATGCATTGCTCTTATACTGATTGTCCAACATAGTAATAACTGATGCACCACATATACCTTGCCCGTACATTTACGAGATCGAAAATGTCACGCATGGGAAGACCTTCGTTTGCCGAGTTCTATTTACAGACCTTGGCCACAGCGAGCGTGTCAAGCGATTGATAGTGCCCAAAGGAAAATTAATCCTTGAATTAGGTGAATTTTTCGCAAGAGCGAAGATTTGTCTGATTACTTCGTGTATTTATAAGTATTTCTGGTAACCTGTAAAACCTTTGCTGTATCTGGGGCTTATACATATTTTTTATATATATTTATATTACATATATCAGTGCGATGTGATAGCTTTCATATATCTTACCTCGCAGAAGCGAACGAATTTCTTACGCGGATCGTAAAAATTTGTGGACTTTGTATTCGCGTCCTGGATTATTGGAAAGTTCGGTTTTGTTATTACGTAGCCATAGTGCTTACATAAGTAATTAGATGATAGATGGTAGATGTTTTGGCATCGTAAGTATTTCATGATTGTCTTCAGGCAGAAGGTTCAGACTGCTATTAGATTTACTTTCTCTGTAAGTCCGCGACGTATTGTTCTTAATTTACAAGGCAAGTTCGTTTGTAAATGATCATTACAATTGTACATATTACTGTTAATTGATTTTTGTGCGAATTATATATTTATGTTATCTAACTTAGTGGGTATTGTCTCCCTTCATAGTCGCCTAGTACCGACCGAGGCCGTATAACTGCAAGTTCTACGTCACTACCACTTTAATTTTTCCTTTATTAATTAGTTTCTATTTAGTAGCAATAATTTATTTCTCGCATCGTAACATTAATTTGATGTTCTCCAACTTCCTCTGGTTATTTTCCACTCAACGAGCAGTCTATTGAGTTTGTTAACTTCTATAAAAAATAATGTAATTAGGAACTTTTGTTCAGCGTAATTGAATTCTAAATAATTTTGTTGTTCATGGCATTTAACCCTTTGCCTTCATCTGAACACCTGAAATTATAGTTTTTTTTTGCGTTAGAGGGAAATCTCGTCTTTTCCACGATGTACACTCCCCCGATCTACGTCGTCCCGAGTTATGAATTATGCTGTTCACTCGTACTTGTATGTCGTTCGGCGTAGTCTCAAGGTACGTGCAGGAATTTACTATCAATATAGTCGTGTCCCTATTTATCTGGATGCAATTAAATTACTCAACCATGTTAACAGTACTGGCAGCGAATTTCGGAACGTATCGTCATTTCCACTCTTCTTACCCACTCCGCATCAACACTCGCTCGACTTAGGTCGTTTTGACTACATCGTCTATCGCGAAACCTATTTCGACGTAACTTTGGGGTATGACTGTAGCGCAATCAGAATTGCGCGATAGTTGGCACATGGAGATGAGTGAAGAAACAGATGAATTAATTTTGGAGACCTTTTCGAGATCGGTATAGCCGCTTTGTGAGTATTTCTAGCGCTCAATTCTGCTCTCTTTGTCATCTAGTAGTACCTAGTATTTCAGAAGGTTTTAATCTGCTCTCTTCTTTTTAGGAATTATTTTACGATCTATTATCTGCAGCAATATGTCCGTGTCTCCGAGGTGGAGATATAGCGGAAATTTATAAATTGTCAATTGCAAAATTTGAGGACCGAGCTCCCAATAGGGCATTCATATATGGAAGCTAATAATACTAAAAAAGATAATTATTAACATTGAAGTATTTAACGTTAAAGTTTTAACGTGACCTAATAAAAGATTGTTATATTGAAAGCTGATATTAACTACCATGGAATAGAAATGGAAGATATTGTGGAAATTTGATGTCAGAGCTGCTTTATGGTCGTTAAACTCTGTAGTAAACAGTATACAATTTGGAGGGTGTCCAGAATATATTTAATATTCTCAAAATATGCTGTATGTATGTAGTGTTCCTGAATGATACTTGAAATGTTTCATATGAATATTATACTATATATACATATATATCTCCTCATTATTTTTGTATTAAGAGAAATTGGCATCTCACATTTAATAGCGGTGGAAACGCCTTGGAGGGCTCTTTGCTTTTCCTTAGAAATTTTTTTTTTAATTTGCAACTTTCTTCAATCCTTATATATGGCGCCTGGAGTATTTTCACAATTCTATTACTTACGCACTATTTGAGAAATTTTTAGTATGTCTTAGAATCGGATCTAAGAAAAGCTGCTTACGTGGGCTTCAATGAAATGTTGGAAGGTGCAGAATAGTATACATGGTTACGGAAGGTACAGGGTGAATACACGAACTATTGCGTCACCTGAAAATGATTTTAAGATTACCAAAAAGACGTTATGGAAAATTTTTAATATTTTTTTCATTAACAAATGGTGTTACACGAAAAATCATTTTAAAGAGTGGAAAGAAGATTTAAACAATGAAGAATTGCAGGTACGAATTTATTACCCATAAAAGAAAACGTCAATTATTAAAATTAATAGTGTGTCAAGTTTATCTTAAATCCGATTAGTAATGAAATTATTGCGAATAATCCACTCGATGAATTGTTATTCAAAATCCATGGAAATTTGCAAAAATTTGCACATTTTCTCAATAAATATACCGTGGAGTGTCTTATGGACTCCCTTAAGATTTCGTTAAAGAGAAAAGTACAGATACGCGTAAGAAAATAAATATACATCATTCCGCGGATAATCCGAAAGTGAAGCTCTGTGTGAATTTTTTCCAGAAAAACCTTTAGGAGCGAAGATTTTTTCCGATTTAAGTAAAGAGTAGGTATATACTTTCTGTCAGGATTCGTTCGTAAGGTACCTATAGCCATTCGGAGTAAAATCCAGGACTCGCAAATATTTATGCACTAGGCTGTAACTCCTACTTTGGCAAATGGCCGATGCTATCGTTTATGCCAACGAGAAAGAGAGAGACAGGACGAGCAAGGTAGAATTTATGTGTCTGTGTGCGCGTGGAATAGTGTATCCTAAGTCCGTTTTATTCCACAGACGATTTTCTCAGGTCGGTAGGTATAAGAGTGGGCCGCATAAATCGTGGAGTGGCTCCCGATAAATTAGGGCTCTTCGAGTATAAATGAAATTTATCGGGAATTATTATCATTATAAGGTGCGGCTTCAAAATCCCGTTGGGGCGAGTACACTGGGTGAGTAGGTCGAAGGTTAAGAATGAAGCCAGATTCTAGAACTCAATCACTCGACAGAGAGAGAGTGAGAGAGAGTGTGTGTGTCTGTGTGTGCGAAAGAAAGAGAGGGAGAGAGGGCAGGCTGAGAGGGGAGGTAGGAAGGAAGATCTTTCATACTCTGTGTATTTTCAAAGCGCAAACAAGTCACTAAAAGTGATGCTGATCGGGATTTCTTCATCTGATAAGTATCACCCTTAATAATGTGTATACTAAAGTCAGTCGACGACTAAAATAGCTTTTTGCGGGGCCATCTGAAAGAGGAGAATACAAGAAATAGCCTTTATTCAAATGAATTCCAAGCATAAATTTTTGTAAGCTGCATCGCTATTCCCTTGCCAAGTAATTATGTATCGATTGTCAATTTCAGTGAGACTAGTCGATCCAGCAGAGAAGAATAACGTAGGCTCATGAATTTTTAACGTCATTGAATTATTTTATGAGAGTGCGGAAGCACTTCGTGCATTCACTGCATAAGATGCATCTGCGAGACTGCAAAGTGCATTTCTCTAATATCAAGTGTTCTGCGCTACCCGTGAACATATATGATACATTAAATGCATTTCCGCCGATGCGCATACATCTGCAATGTATCTACGTTGCAAAAAACATTGTAGGAAAGACGAAAAAATGTATGGTTCAAAAGAATACAATCTGCTCCAAAAGTAATGTATCTATATATACATTGTACACTCTTGTAAGTTCAATAAAATTTTGTTCGTTTCGTCCTGTTTCTAATCTACTTACATAATTATCTACAATCCTTTAAAAATGTTACGTCGTACTTGTGCACGTATATTTATCGTATTATAGTGTCCTGTAAACTTTTCCTTTGTATTCAACATTAGTCGGCTTAATGAGGACGTGCTGATTCCCTCGCGCTCGGCAAATACACTTATATAGCTGTAGCTGCATACAATAATCGTATAAGGATAGAGTTGGTTCTGGGTCTTATTTCAAAAGTACATAACAAAGCCAAGAACGAAAGGATGTGAAACGGGATGGCCAGTCTGGTTAGCTTAGCCTGTGTGGCTTGGTTGGTCGAAGGACTGGCTGGTTCTTTGGGTTGCTTTGCCGTTCAGCCATTGCCATTATTATGATAGTTCCCTAGATGTTCAAAGGAGAGTAAATTTAGCGAAAATACAGAGTCGAGAAAATATTGGAAATTCTTGGTACTTACTTTTGGATTACTGGCTCATCTTACACGTAAGATCTAATCGAGCTAGAAGCTCCTTTGAGATTTCATGAAAAGGTAGCGTTTATTTATGATTTCTTTTTTTTCAAATATACCTGTTTTTTTACTCGCTTTAAAATATATTTACAATCAGTCTATTAATTATTTGTATTATCAGGATAATTAATTATTTTAATTAATTTACGTATAATTCATCCTTATTAGGTAAACGATTTCAAATCAAATAGGATTAGATTATATTGTGTATGGGTTGTTATGTATGTATCTTTATGCATCTCTCTATGTACCTATGTATACACGACGTACTGAATTCGTAACGCAATCCAATCTAGTACTCAGCAGGCTAGTAGAATTCGTAAGTAAATAGAATAGGTCCTCCGATATCCGAGTAGCCGCCATTCCAAACAAAGGGAGCTCAGTAAATTCCCGACTTTGTCATAGCTAGTCGCAGAGTTCAGATTTGCGCGCTGATTATTACAAAGAGACTAAACCGTGTAATCGGAGCACAAAGGTCTTTAGAAGCTGCCGAGAACTTCTTGGTAAAATTAGTACCTGACGACGCATATACTTCTTCCCATAACAATTAGTATAACGGTAGCATTGCGGGTGAGGCAGGTATTTCTAAGAAATAATAGAAGGATCATCCGCAGGAGTTTCCTCGGAGAATTTAATTTTAGTTTCTCATGAGTCCCATGACGTTTTCAGAAATTGCAGGCTTACACCGAATTGTCATTCGGAATATAGGAACTTTTTGATAAATACTTTTAGCTGCAACGTACGAAATTAGTGCAGAGTTTAAGACCTTTCTATATAATTTAATTATTTAATAATTATTCAAATTGACTTTTTTTGAAGGGTTCAATTATCAGGGGTCTGAAAGGTAGTATAATCGATATATAGAGGATTTTTAATATGGCAATTTTTTTTCTTCTGATCTTAAGTGGAGAAAGATTTTAATCTCGGTTTGACCTTTTCAACTAAATTCTATTAGCTGCAGTCAATTGGAATTCTAGGGTAAAACGACTGAGGAGAAGACGCAGCAGGAATCGAGGTCGACTTCGAAATCGTGAGTACTTTCTCTGGATGTCGTGAGACTTGGAAGACCCGGCAAAACCCAGTTCAACTTAACCTAACCTAACCTATTTTAACTGAGATAGCCATGCAGAAACTTTTGTTCCGAGACGTTATCCGCATTTTACTCAGTCCCCATTGAGTCTTGAACTCTGCCCATGGTACCAACGTCTTTGCGCTGCTTCCTGAACGCCTCGATTCTTTCGAGGATCCCGCAAGTCGCCGAATTCTCGAGAGGGAAATAAAAGGTAGAGATTCTCAAAGAAGGTTTTCTTGCTTCTTAGGTTATATCCATGATGTTCTGTGAATCTTTTCCCTTAGCCTGACCTGACCCAGTGTAACCTCATAAACATCTTGGATATTGCGTGAGGCTAGCTGTGCAACGTTCATAGTCTTGTTCGATTACATTTATGTTATATTTCAACCCTTAATGGAAATTATACTAGGAACCCATTTCGAGATCGAAATTAGAATAAGGCTATAGTTATAACCGTTCATCCTTTTGTTACGTTTCCGAGTCTCAAGTTTCTTTGTGATTTGAAATAAAAGATAGATCAAAAAAATTCTGTAAACAGTCAAATGGACCATGGAATGCCTTGTACGAATTTAAGAGACATTAATTTTAGTCTCGTAGATAGACTACCTCTGTATAAAGAAAATCGCATCCCTTAATAAATATATGAATAAAAATCCCTGCTCGTTCGACGGGAAATTACAGTCGACTCTGTATATGTATACGTAGAGGAGTTCCGTATAGTCGCGTTTCCCCTGAGCTCTCTTTTTAAACTATCGCGCCGAGAGGGAAAGGCTTCCATCCCCACATTCTTCTGTGCCTCACAGCGCGCGTGAGGACTCTCCCTAATATCGCTCTCCCGCTAGTTATAAAGTATCAGAGTGATTATACGGAGTCACGAGATTTCGTGGATCGGGGATGTCAGGCCTGTAGGCTTTTGTGATTTTCTGCTAGAAAAGTTTATTGTCAAAGCCCCACTTATTGAACTCTGCAGGAGGAAGAGCCAAACGGAAGTAAACAGATTGGAGTTCCTCAAGGATATTAAAAGTAAACTTTATAGGATTCAATGTACGCAGGATGTTCCTTGGATGTCTATATCACGTCCGTAGGATGTATGTATAGGATATTATACAGTGTGGATCATTCACGATCAATAAACATGTAATCTTATAATAGAAGGTACAGATGTGTATATTTTTCATTAGATTAATTTTATAACTCTTCTTGTTTATGTATTTCATCCTCGCTGGAGGCGAAATATTAGATTGAATCTATCAATTCTGTAATCGAATATTCGTACTGTACTAAAGTCGTCATCGTCAACAACCCTCCGGCTGAACTATAATGTTACCAATCCCACGTTAAGTAATTCTCCAGGGTAGGAACGAACAGTGATTTCTTGGGTA